CCCTCTTGGTGACTGTGCCGTCCGGGCCCGTCCTGCCTGGCCGCAGGTGCCCTGGATGAGGCCGCCCCGCGCGCCACGACCGGTGAGTGTCCCCGCCGACGCGCCCGGCCAGCCGCCTGTTCTCTGGCCCCCGCGTCACCGTTAGCGGCCGCCTCTGTGTCCCAGTGCCCGCGCCTGCGTCCGGCGCCTCTGCACCCTGGGTGGAGGCAATGCCGGCCCTCTGACCGGGATGGGCCGGCAGGGAAGAGGACAGCTAGCCTGGGCCGCGAGCCCGGTGCAGATCGGGCTGCGCGCAGTGGGAGCTTTTGCCTAGTAGGCTCTCGATGCATTTATGTGGAAATTGCTTTTCTGGTTGGAGGACGTGGGATATCGAAGGGGAATTGGGTCGCCTCTGGATAGTAGAAGAGCTTTAGCGATTGGGGTCGTGGTACTTTGAGGGAGACCACCAGAGACTGGAACAGTTACGTGGGCTGCAGGGAAAGGGGCATCCACCAAATCACTCGGGGCTCTCTGGCTGCGATCTGAGGGTCGTCAAGGTCGAGAGGAAAAGGTCCACTGGGGAATGAGAGGGAACCAGGCAGCATTGGATGGGGAAGAAACTGGATCACCTCTTGGGGGTTTAACTCCAGGTGATAAGGGATGAGGAGGCGGGCGCAAGACTCCTCTGCAACTCTTTGGGCTCCAAAATTTCTTTGCTGTTGGGGTTTGGGCATCCAAGTAGCCGAAACGGAGTGACTTCGTGGAGGGAGCGTTGCATTTAAAGAAGAATGCTAAGAAACAGTGTAAGTACATCTTGGTTTGGTTCTGAACTTTGAAAGGCTTGGGGGCTCGGAATCACGAGGAGGTTTTGACATTATCTGTTGGCATTCTAACCAAGTCTACTGGACTTGGTCAGTTATGTTTTATTTAATAATACATGTATACATTTGATTGTATTTTATCAGTTACTCGTCTTGCTGCAAATTCTTGTAATTATACCTTAAAATTCCAATAGACCCTCTCTAAGGTGGTGTCTTACTTCTTCCCAATCTAACATTTAGATTGGAGTATGCTATTATAATTTGCTACTGACTTATTCTACAAGATTAAAGGGTAACTCACGTGCTTGCTTTTATTTCTTTAAAAGATCATTCAAAATTGAACTACAGATTCTATAGAAGTTTTAAAGTATTTTAACTTCACACATTAAACTGGGAAGATGTTGGTAAGCCAAGCAGCTCCAGAAAACAGTGCTAAAATCAGGTTGAGTTTTCTAACAGTTGGGAGTCTTAATGTCGGATGCTTAGTTTAATTTTAATGATCTTGGATTTACATAACGCTCTTGAGAAAGGGTTAGGAAACATAGATAATGCATGCCAGGATTAGGCAGTGGCAACCCACAGAGTCCACCTTTGGGCCAGCCCAGGAAGGTTCTTCATTTCATGAGTGTGTTCAGAATTGCACAGCTAGATCTTTGATTTTTAAAAATTTTCTTTATAAATCTGTCTGTCTATACATGTATATATACGCATATACATATGACTACTTAACATTTGTAGAATACAGTTTATTGAATAAAAGCTCGTTCTGTTAGGGTTTAAACATGTTTTAGAAAAAAATTGTAGATCATAATTTGCCCTTTAATTCATTAATCAGAGAAAACACTTATGCAAAAAGGTGTTAGTATTTTCAGTTGGCATTTTCTTAGTTCTTGAATAATTAATGGAAATTTATATATATTTTTTCTCCCCTTTGTCCTTGAATTTTACTATTTGTCCTTAGGGGAGAATGTACTGGCATACAAAACAGCCTTAAATATTGAAACCTAACACCTTTTAACAGTATAATGGCTTCTGTTTATTCACCTTGAGGATCATCTATGTATGGCAAACCTGT